GCCGGACGCAAACCTTTAGAGAACAGATATCAAAGAAGCACATGTCCTTTTAAAAAGTCTACGGATGTGTCTGCCTGGATGTGCAACTGCGTTAATGATTGGCCTCTGGAGCTGAGTCATCAAGCTTGGCTCTACGAGTCCTTTCTACTCACCAGCTCTTCCTTCCTCTCTCCAACTCGTCTTTATTTGTCCATTAATTCCCCCCGATCAACCCTCTCCTCTTCTCTCAGCTCTATTTTCTCTGTTCATTTTCTCATGAATGTTTCTACTTCTAGTTAAAGTAACGGGTGGCTTCGTAGAAAATGCTTCTGCTCTCTCTTTCTCTATATATATATAACTATAAAATGCAAGCAGATTTGAGTGGTTGTGAATCTGAAACCATCGTGCACCCTCAGCCTGTTCCCACAGATGCAGATTTAAAAAAAATCAGTTGCATTATGATTGTTTAAATATCATTTCTGCACAAAACTTTTCGGAAACATGTTTGTGCAGAATAGAGGTTAAAAAAAATGAAAATGAGGAAGGAGCCTTGCCTTAACACTGCAAGTTTACATGTTTGTTCCTCAGAAGAGCTTTTAAGCTCTTATCTTAAAAGCCACATTTGCTTTTCTTTAAACGACCAGAGTTTCAGGGCTCCCATAGATGATACAGAACATACAGGCCAGGGTGCACCGTTATCTTACATTACAGAGACTTGTAAAGGAAGTTAATCTAACCTGAGTGTGTGCTGCAGTGGGCCGTTCACTCATGCATCAAAGCAAATGTGAAACACCTTTCTGGGTGCAAGATGCTAGCATGAACCAAAGAGACACCAAGGAGCTTCTTCCCACCATAGTCGACAGATAAATAGTCACATGTGAAATAATGGCAGCATATGGGAGGCCCTATTTGCTTGGCTTAAACACAGACCAAACATTTTCTGGGCCAAAGCCCTGCCAGCTTTCAAAGCTCTGAGTTAATTTGAACAAAGTTCATCCATCATAAAAAAAAGCTTTGAGATATAAAATTGCCAATGTGTCAAAATAGGCAGATGATTTAAATGACTTAAATGCACACTGGCTTTAGACATAAATACTTTTAGTTAAAATAATCCAAATGTCGTTTTATTTAATATCTCTTTTAACTGTTGAACAGTCCGACTGAGAAAATGAAGATAAGTCAGAAAACCTGGAATAGAAGAACTTGTCTTCCTGTACAGGGGAGAGTTACGATTACAGTAAATGATGTCCATCGAGCCATCACAGCTAACTCTGAGTCCTGAAACTTACTGACAGGGAAACTAATAACAGTATTTATTGATCTGTGCCAGACAGCCTCAGCAGCCTCTGAAAATAAAGTTTGATCAAAGACAGAATGATAAAAGCAGAGCTGATTTAGGCTATCTATCTAATGACTGACTCTTTAAAATTCAAAACATACAATGCACCTCAGGCATTTCTAACATAAACATTAGATTAATTTTAATATAAAAGGTAAACGACTTTCTTGTTAATATAAAGACAAACCTGCCTCAGTTGTCTTCTTTTTCCCAGTCCTAAAGAGTGACAGGGAGAAATGGGCATCTGTGGTATCTCATACTTACACCCTACAGAAATATTAAAAAGTTCAAAGAAAATCTCATAATCTTGTCTCATAATTGAAATTGTTTAATTGCTTTTATTATTCAGTTTTTATTAGTGCCAAAGTTGCCCTGAAATAATAAAAAAAATGCGATTAAAGTGATCGATGGTTCATCAAATTTTCTGCACTCAACACTCATTTGCTTCAAGTTAATGGCAGCTTAGTTCTTCGTTTTCATTTTGAAAGGTGACATGAAGTCTGGACCTGTGTGTCACATCATGAATTCCCCACAGGGTTACAGTAAGTCATTGAATACTAATCTAATGTTCCTGCTCACTGTGCTCTTTTAAATAATGCCAGTAAATTTGAAGCACATGTTCATTTGAATGATTTAGGACTTTAAATTAATAACAATAATTTTCTGTTTTCTTTTTTTACTCATTTCAATTAAGTGCAAGATCTCTACATTCGGTTTCTGATTATAAATAAATCAAATAGACTTCTCTTAATTAAATGATAGATTATCTATCAAAGTTGTTTTTAGAATCTCTCAAAACCCAGAAAGTAATTTGCCAACCTGTTTCCAAATAATCAGCCTGTGATTACAGGTTTCTATGGGCTCTGAGGATGTGCATACATAATTATCTCTGTTGCAATTAACTGTGCTCACTTTTTTTCCATTTAGGAAACTATAACAACAGCACATGTTAATACAGTGAAAACTGCACCATCAATCTTTGCCAACCAGCTATTAAACACACGGATGTTTACTCAACTGTCTGCCTAATGAGAAACCATCTGGTTTTGTTTCAGGCCAATAGATGCGCTCTGAACAAATAAGACCACAAACCCATCTTCTTCATTCCTAATATCAGGGATGGACGTGCACTAAATGTATTCGGCTACTTAGACGGCAACCACCAATGGGTCTGATAGCAATATTAAAAAGATGGCAGTAAGACATAATTATAAATCGTAAAAGAGAAACCAGGCCTCATTCTAGACTTTTTGAGTCCACATCTGGATGTGAACATGTGGGTCAGAGATACAGCAAGGCGGTCTCTGACATCATGGCTGTAGGAACAACAAAGCTGTAGAAACTCCACTACCATACAGGACGATCACAGAATAAACATCCTATATCCAGCTTTTCTGTGTAGGAAATAATCTGGGTTGGAATAAAGGCTCCAGCTGTTGATTATTTTAGTAATCTAGTAATCTATTTTCTTTTTTTCTTCTTCAAATAATCTGAAAAGGGAAGGCTTTAGTATAAAAATATATCTTAATAAAAAAATGTATTGCACATTGTAAATGCTAAACTGTAAATGCAATATAAGACAAATGTGTTAAATTCAAAACTTCAATATTTTTGGTATTCTGTTTCTTATTTTAGCTTAATTACGGTTCTGAGGGAGTTGCTCCTTTAGTAAATGTCATATTTCAATTTGGTTCCATTACTAAATTAACTGACAATTGAATTGACAAAAGAATTTCAGGCCTAGTTGGGATTAATCAACAGAAGGAGGTAGGAGGGTCCTTGAATCTTTGATAGGTGAGGAGGAGAATATAGAGGATCTGGGCAGAGGTCCAGTCCTGTCAGCGCACAGCCTCGGTGTCTGCTCTCTAACAGACAAACTGGGGTGAGAAAGGAGCCTTTACCGTCGTGCCTGCTGTTTTCTGTAAATGGCCGTCTCCAAGCACTAAACGATGACATAGTTTTCCAGCAGCATCAAGTGATTTCACCAACAACAGCGTTTGATCTTTTTATAGCATGAAGAAACGCCTCCATCACTGAGGAATTTGATTTAGTGCTAAAAACCAGCAGCTATGTCAAACAAAGGAAAACAGAAAGTGCTTCACTAACTGAAAATAAACGTGTCGGGAGGGGGCGGGAGATTGACAAATCATTACTGATTACCAACTCCGACATCTTAAGTGTGATTCTATGTTCATAACAAACAAAGAGAGTGAATTCTTATCAGTTGTCTGGTACACTTTCAGGGCTGTTGTTTGTACATATCTGATGTGGTGTACTTCATACATTTGGTCTTTTTATTATAGTTTCACATGATGATGAGGATGAAGATTATTTTATATGAAAGAATATAAATTTTTGGTTGCTTTATTTGTTGAAGTCTATTTTTAACTACTTGTGGAAGTTTACAGCTTGGTGATCTTAATAGCATTTCTTCTTATGTTTCATGAATTTGTTTTTTTAAAACAAATTGAAAACTTTCCTGGATGGGAAGCGAAACATCTTCAAATTTTGAAACAAAGTCCAGTGGATTGTTTTTAATTTTCTTTTCTTTTTTTTGTGACTTTGACCTGGATGACTGAGAACCTTCACCAGCACTTTGGAAAAATAATCATAACCCCTGGATTTTTTCACTTCAATGTACTTTAATGAGATTTTATTTCAACATTTGGAGGTTCTCAATAACATTCCAACAGGAAGATATAAAGAGATTGGTTTTAAGGTAAATCCTTCAGCTAAGATGCTTTAAGGGTTAAATATTAGAGAACAAAACAAAAGGAAATACTGAACAAAATTACAGCTTATAAAGACAGACTATGGAAAAAAAAGAAAGTCTGTTTCAGGTGTTTTTCCTGCTACTGTACACCTGATGTAAATGACTGGGAGATTATCAGGCTTCAATGCTTTGCTGGGGAGATAATGCAGGTAAATTAGGTGTGTTGGAGCAGGGACACATCTAAATGATGAAGGGCATTTGATCCCTAGGAAAGAAAATACTGTTTGTTCTGTTTTTTTATAAATGGAACTTTAGGTGGTAAAATTGCCCAGTTAAAATCTGACCTGAACATTTATTTTGCAGATGCTTTCCATCCAAAGTGCGAAGAGTTAAAAGTACTTTACCAATTGCTTCACAATCATGCATTACAGTGTTGTAACATAATAGAAGAGGAAAGTGAGTGTAAAGCCTTTAGTGAAGCACTGTATCCCCTGCAAGGTTTCACATCCTGTCTTGCTGCTAACATTTATTTCAGGTCAGATCAACACCAGCGTTTCCTCCTGTGGGTGTCCCTGTTGTAATGAGTGTGAGCCCTCTCTCCACACATGCATGATCAGAGCATGTGCACAGTAGTAGCTGCACGTGGGCGCACACTTCCATGCCCAGCATTAACCATATTGAATGACTCACAGAACCCAAACCAAAGAGCACAACAGACTGTGAATGCACCAGCTGCATTTCTTTTTTTACGCATGTGTGAGTCAGGTTAATATTTCCTGAAACTGTAGTTACTGTAGTCTTTTTTTTTTTTTTTTTTTGGTGCGTGTGAACATGTGTTCAACTTGTGTCTAAGCGTTGCCTCCAGCCCTGTTTTTCTCTGCGTGTTGGAGGCGCATATGGCATGCATCTTAGAGGATGGAGCGTTAGGTAAAGCAGTGTGTGTGCGTGGATCCGGGTGGTTTTACCTACCTTAAATAGACTTTCTGTCAATCCCTTCCTGATGATCGTCCACAAAAAGGCGCAAAAGAAAAACAGGGCTATTTCGGTCCAGGTGAAGTAGGCGTTATCCAGGAGCGTTTGTTTGGAGAGCTCCAAACCGCAGCGGTCACAGTCTCTCCATGCGCTCAGCATGACGCTGGAGCCTCTAGAGAGGAGCTCCCAGTACCCCGGCATGGGCTCTACTTCCACCGGCCCGGGGCCCCTGGCTTCGCCGCCCATCTCGGTGCGTCGGTGTGACAACAGAGCGGATAAAAGCCGGGAGAGATGCCTCCAGCAGAGGGGCAGAAGGAGTCCAGACTGACCGGGCTTGTTGGCTCAATAAAGGGAGCTTATCTAACGAGCTTATCCCCTCTTCATGCGCCTAATTCTTTGTTTTCCAAATTGAGACATGGGCCCATTCTCTGCGCTCAGAACTCTCTCATGAAAAAATAAAATTATTAGAGGCTGTAATTAAAGCTCAAATTGGAAATGTTAACCACCAATTCCAGGAAGGATTTCTAGGAGTTAATGTGAGCGTTCATCTTTCTGCTGTATCCACACGGCTCTTCTGCGGCAGGTTAGCCGCCTAGCTTACAGTAAATCAGACAGCGCAGTTGATGGAGCAGCATTGACGACAGAGGCGGCTTCCTGTGCGATGTTAGCGCTTCGGTTGAATGAATTAAGCCTTTTAGACACAGGAGCAAACAGCACCGGACGGACTTCTGTTGCCGCTCCGCTGTCAGACACGCGCTCTCATCTCGGACCGTTATCCGCCTTATATAACGCTGCTGGGTCGCTTCATCTGGGGGACAGCGGTCACTCAAAGGCACGAGGACTAGATATTCCGGAGGAAATCGATCAAACTAACGTATCCTGGTCGACAATTAAAAATAAAAAAAATAATAAGACGTGCGTCGTTTCTTCTCCTGCTGCTCTTTCTGTGCCGCTGGTGTGAATGAGCGTTTGGACGCGGTGAGCTCAGCTCACTGCGAGCAACTGGTGCGTTCAAAGAAAGGAGGACAGCCTGCGTTAATGGCTCAGCTGCGTTTATGGGGGGGTAAAATATCAAGCGAGGGCGTGACGTATTACAGGGCCGCTATCTTCTTTATGAACCCTCTGTTTGAACCGCTGAGGAGCTGAATGGAAAGTTTAAAGCGACCGTGGAGAGAAACATTCACAGGTGCAAAGACTTAATTAAAAGCTTAATTAAAATACTTAATTAAAGTTTATTATAATGTATTCTATTTATTATAATTTATTATAATGTATCACACATTGATACATTAGAAAAAGAAAAAGAAGACAAAAAGTTAAATACATTAATATTTGAATGCAACTGTGAACAGAAGGCATAGCCAGAAAATTTTTATAAGGGTGGCCAGGCAATAACCAATGCACACTGAGGGGTGGCTGTAAGCAGATAGGCACCAAAATCTACAATGTTCCAACAGGAAAATTAATGAGCAAAACATCCATATTTTCGAAATAAAGACAAACTATATTTTCAAACATCCGTGCTTTCTACATAAAAGGTATAGTGGATAAAGGTTTGAATTTTGGGGCAAACATCTTTTCCATTGTTACTTACTTTTATCAGTAATCATTCTGCATAAAATTAATATTTACAAGTACAAATATCTACATAAATTGATTATTTATAAAATTTCTATTAAAGTAGTTATTTATCTATGATTTCACTGAAGACTCCTAGAGGAATTTTCTCTTACCCCAAAAAACACAAAATTTATTTCTGCTTGAATTCTGTATCTTTAATGTTACTATATTGATGTGTATAAAAAAAAAACCACAGTGTTTTAGTTGTCAAGTAATTGTTAATATATGAAAAATAAAATGTTTTGAATATTCCACTTGAGAGTATTACTGTTCCCACCATCTGTATTAGAGGGAAATAAATGCTAGGGTGGCCACAGGGGTGAGCAATGATTGGCTAAGAGTGGCCATGGCCACCCCTGGCCCCCATCTAGCACTGCCCCTGACTATGAAACAATTTCCCTCTTACCTCACTGACACTATCAAACAAAAGCCACAGATAATTCAAATAGGCCACCATTACTGCATCTAAGGTCACTTATAGACAGTTAAGTTGAAGGAAACGTGTATCACAAACGAAAGATAACTGTAGCTACCAGATGATGATGAAGCAAAGCCAATTTCAGATCGGTAAAGATTAATGGAGAGCAGACTACAGGTGCAGTTAATGCTTCCAGGCCCAACAGATTCTTAGACTTTATGTATAGCCACTCTTAAACCAAAGACATCAGGTGCTAACCTGACAACAGCCAGATGCATGTCTCGCTCCGCCTAGCTCAGTAGGCGGAGCGAGACATGCATCTGGCTGTTGTCAGGTTAATCAGGTGCCACTTTCATAAGGAAATTAATTTCTTGTAAAAAAAATCTTATTCTTGCTTTAATGTGAAATAAAATACTTAGGATCTAAAGGTGCAGAAATCCATGCTGCTAAGTCCTTTCCACAGTGGGCAATGAAATGGGAGCCTATATCATGCATTGGTCCATTGTGTTTTATCAAGTCCAAAGTCGGTGCAGCTGGCAGTTTTAGGACATTTCAAAGAACCGTCTGTCAACAGGCATTGTGGAGAAAATGATCTAATTATGACTAATAATAATTTAACTTTAGTGATCTCACAGAGAAATTTACCTCTGCATTTAACCTATCCCTATGATAAGCAGTGGGCTGACATTGCTCGACACCCAGGTTGAGATCGGGGGTTAAAGGACCCAGAGTGGTAGTCTGTAGGTGGGGGCTCGAACTCAAGATTCCCAGCCCTATGCCCTAACCAATAGGCCGCCACTCCACACTTATTCCGCAGGACATGGCACCTCCCCACTGCCAACAGTAAAGGTAGCCATCTCGGTGAACATAGTATTTTTGTACTTGATTGGATAACATATTGAACTGAGGACCTACTTTTCCAGTAGCTGGTATTTCATACCAACTTTTATTTTATAGTCGCCCATATAATATACTTCCATATTATTTTTGGCAGATTTAACACAAATAAAACACTCAAGTTTCGTCAAGCCTTTATTAACATTTCAAAGGAATGCTTATATAACAGAATTGCTTTAAAGAAAAGTATGTGTAGGATGGGGATCGATGCAGGGATATAAGAATGTCTAGCGTGGTTTAAATACAGACAAGGTTATAAAGAAAAAAAAAAAAACATGACAGAGACACTGTTGTTATCTTCAAGGTCTTTCTCAAAGTCCACTGTTCAGGGAGTCTTGTAGAAACAGAAGATCTATGCAGTAGCGGTGGGGGCATACTGCATTGCTAACCTGTCAAACTCATTCTCCTGCAGAAAGAGACAGCAGCAAAAAAAAACAGTTAAACACAGTTACAAATCCAGGTATTATACATGCATCTGTCCAGTCAATAACCCAGTTTATGCATGTTTATACTCTAGCGTGATTGCAACACAGAGCATAAGCAAAGGGTGAAGGTTTAATGTCCTTCTCGGCTTTGATCCAAGGATACACGCTGCCAGCTTATCACTACAAACAGTACCATCAGTCTCACTAAATAAAACAGGTTTGTTATTTAGTCTCTAAGTATCTAAGTATTTATCTCTAAGTGTATAACACAAGCGTTACCTTTGCAAAATAATCTTTTAGGAATGGATGAGCTTTGTGTGCATCCTTAAGCTGGGAGAGATACCGATTGGTGACCTAAGGAAACACAAACAGATGATTCTGGGTGGCTGTAAGGAAGTCAAGGCACAAAGGATTACGAACAAGGAGGAGCCTGAAGGCAAATAATTACTTCAAACACATAATACATTTGCATTCATGCTTGCGCCCTTCAACAAGCTGGATGCAGATGAGGCTCTGTTGTAGATACTACATGAATACTCTGCACTGGACAGAATTTTGTAGCTAAGGAAACTCAAAACAATGCATGAAACAACCAACAATTAAAATACAACAGTAAAAACTAAGAGGATTTAATCAATTGGTGTTTTGCATTATATATATATATATATATATATATATATATATATATATATATATATATATTTTTTTTTTTTTTTTTTTTTTTTACATCTAATGTGCAATAAATGTTTGCTTCTTAAGGTTGAATCATACATATACACGCATACCTAATTTAATAATTCAATTTAATAGTTTATTTACAGTATATAGATAAAAATACATACTGATCACCAAAGCAATCAATACCTGCAGCCCTGAAAGTAAAAGTCTTCAGAAATTAATGTTTAATCTTAAAGAGAAACTATGTCCTAAAAATAGTGTAAACTCTGTAGCTTATGACTTGGGAGCTGTGGGATAAAAGCAACAAACAACTTATTGGATATTAGTAAAAATTGAATCCAACAAATATCTTTTAAAAATTCTTTGATTACCTTTTAACCTTTCTATATAATTTGCTAAGAAATTACCTAATTTTCCTAGTTAACCTTGAGCGAGATGAGCTTATCAGTTGTTATCACAGCTGTAGACTGGTTAATTATGCTTTTGTGTTAATGGTCAGCATTCTAGTCTGCTGCAGTCACATGCAGCAAATGTAAGTCTGATTACTCTGCCTTTATCATGTGAACTCTGACTGTTACGCCACTGCACAGCAGATACGCCTTAGTGTCTTTTCCAGGTAAGCAATGTACCGATTTAGGCAAAGCAGGCTTTTAAATTGCTTGAATGTACGTGTTGGATTTAGGACGGAAGGGTCAAAGTTGCATCAGTGTCTTTTATCTGTCCAAAGGAGCACTCTTAGGTTGATGCCTGTAGAACTTTGGTCTCACCTCAGGAGCTTTCCCCAGGTGCTGCGTCAGGACTATAAGGTTGATCAGCGTCTCAGGATGGCTGCTGTCCTAATGGGAATAAAAGACAAAGGAAAAAAAAAAAAAGCTGTCAAAAAATTTTTCCCCTTAAAAAAACAAAAAAAACATGACATCTGGAAGCTAAATTGAACCCTTTGTTAAATTCTGCTTATGGAGCAAGGGCTATAATTAATGAATAACTGTCCCTTTGTCAAAATTTAACATGCTTACATCAAAATGAAGCACTGTGGATTCTACACATGAAACAGCTATGAAGACAGTTACTCTTCCTTATTAAAAATTCTGAATATTTAATTAAAAAAAATGAATGGCCCAGCAATTCCACTCAAAATGATGAAAATATTAATAAAAATGTGTATTTATTATAAAAATATATACACACACACATACATACACATACACATATATACCCATACATACACTACAGAGCTATATGTATTGTATTACATTGTATGTATGTATTACAGAGCTACACATTTTTCTTTTCCAGGAAGAGGTTGTCTTTGAAATAATGTACATGTGCTGCCCTCTGCTGGTAAATTATATAGGAGCATTAAAAAAGAATATATATTATTAAAGAATAAAAGATATTAACAGAAGCTTTTAGGTCAGCTTTGGTTATTTAAAGCAGTCCACTAAATGTGCAAGATATTGCACCTCCTGCCATTAAAACAATATATGGTGAAATATCTGGAGCCTCACTTAACACAAATTGTATCATACACAATATGATACTCAAATGTATAAATACATTTTAATTAAGTCTTTGCACCTAAGAAGGAACACTTCATCGTTTCACAATACCATTGGGTTGCCTCTGGAGAAAAGTTGTCTGTTCAGTATGACTGGCCTTTCAGATTGATAACATCTTTTTTCTAAAATTCTGTTTAAAACTGATGAGAATTTTTTTTTATTTATGATTTTAAAACTAATGAGAACATGTTGCACAGACGGTCTGGAGCACAGCGAGGTGAGGCGGAGCTGGGCGGTGATGGTGGATGTGGGATTTCAGGTTCACGCCGACGTTAACCTACTTCAGTATCTAAAGCAGAGGTTCCTGTAGATGCATCTATTCAGACGCATCTGAGAAAAGGCTGATTCCCTTCAGTGTTCTGTCAATTATTTCTGCTTTGGCCCGTTAAGGAGACATTCATTTGATTGCAGAAGGGATGCATCTAAAAGCTGGAGAACAGCAGCTCAGAAA